TTCAAAAATAAAAACATAATCGCTTTCTCAAAATCACATAAAACCATATTATAACATCGACTGAGATAAAGAATAAAATGAAATATTAAAAACACGATGTATCTCGCTGCATTGCGCGAGTACGCTTCTAGTAATATAGTATAGATTAAATTTAATAAGTCAAAGTACTATTATTATAAGAACAATTTGGTGGGTTAAGTAAAAAATAAATTATTATTTATTTTTTTAACTTGTTTAAATTGTTAACCACGAGTTTGGTAGAGAAATATGAAGAATCATGAACCATTTCTTTGAACAGCGTTGACCACGTGAAGCATATGAACCATTTAAAATCAAAAACTTTTAGCACAGATTACAGGGAGTATTAATGGCGTCTTTAAACCCACTTTCCGGTCCAAACTCCGGTGATAAATCATGGGTGGATCACATCAGCAAAACCTTAAAATCCCAGATTGCAGTTACAATTGATACGCCTCCAGTTTCCATATTTGAAATTCCCAAAACCCTAAAAGCAGAAAAGCTCGAAGCATATACCCCACAACGAATAGGGCTTGGACCAAATCACCATTTTCAGTCTGAGCTCTACCAGAAGATGGAGCAGAACAAGCTCACTGCAGTCAAAAGGATTCTAAGGCCTCATCAAATTCAAGACCATCAAGATCAAGTAGTAGAAAAAGTGAGAGAGATCATCCCTATTATTTGTGCTTGTTACGATTTGTACCTTGATGCTGATGACGATACCTTGGCATGGTTATTTGCTATTGATGGTCTCTTCTTGCTTGATCACCTGCGTGCTTATTCGGATCATCAGTTTGGAATAGAAGCAAAAGATTTGATCATGTTAGAGAACCAGATTCCACTAATTGTGTTGAAGGAAATCCAAAAGGCTATATCAATATCAGATGAAAAGGCTGATGCTCAGGAAGATTACTTGGAATCTAAGCTCCATTTTTTCTGTAAGTCTCACTCACCGTTTCTCCTCTCTAAGGAGAAAGTCGATTTTAGTCGAGTTAACCATATTCTTGATTATATGTACCATTCTATCGTGAACAATGAAACATCGATCTCAAGACAAGTCAACTTCACAAATCATGGAAGTGGTTCACCTGAAAAAGACGCCAAACAAGAGCTACTAGAAGCTTTGGTCAAAATGGGCGGACTGATACCGGGTGCTAAACCTTTTCTCGAGATCATCGAATCCATAAGGAAAGATTTCTCTGATAGCATAGAGAAAAAACAGATGGTTGAAGAGATCAAGGTGCCTTCGGTTTCGGAACTTGGCGATATTGCTGGAGTAAAGTTTCGTCTATCACCTGGAAACGAAGGAATCAGAAATATAAGCTTTGTCGTGGAAAAAGAACGGTCTTGTTATCTCCCTCTTATTACACTTAATATGGATTCGGAGGTCATACTGAGAAACTTGGTCGCTTACGAGCAATTAATGGCAAAGAATAGTTTTGCAGCCGGCTATGGCCTTGAGCTCACGGAATACGTGGATTTCATGTGTGGGATCATCGACACAGCCAAGGACGTGAGGTTGTTACGCAAAGAGAAGATCATCGAAGGCGACTTGGGTGATGAGGAGATTGTTAAAATGTTTAACGGGATAGGGAGATCGCAGGGGAAAATGAGCGTGGTATCTGAATTAAGGAAGACCGTGGCTGAATTAAACAAGGTTTATGAAAGCATGCCGAGAGTTTGGGTCCAGAGGACGGCTGAGAAGCAAGTTCGGGGTTCGGCCAAGGCGATCACGTTCCTGGTTAGCATTTCGAGCACATTGATCTTGATTCGTGAGGTGTATTCGAAGGTTTATGGTTCGAATCCACCCCATATGATGTTGGTTCGTTTTCTTTTGAAGCAAGTCGAGTCTTTTTCTTCATTGATTCAATAGGGACATATTTGTTTACCTGCTGTTGGCTCTTTCTTTAATTAATTTTAATTATCATCCATTAGCTAATTATTAATCATAATTACAATTACAAATAGTATTTGATTATTTAAATTAATTCTGAATTTCGAATAATTAATTTTCCCATTACGTTATAAATACAAAAAAGAATTGTCACAAACATTTGATTAATAATAACGAATGGAGAAAGACTACAAGTATGGCCTACGGATGAAGACATAAAACCAATAATATTAAATTAACCACTAATTAATTAAATATTGTATGTTTAATGCTGAATATTGGTCTACTACGTTAAAAAAAGCCAAAATTCCAATATTTGAAAATGGTTAAATGGTGTAACCTTAGACGATTAAATATTCCACTTCTGTTCTTTATGAGATAAAAGCTGTCATTTATACAAAGATTCTTTAAAGTAATGTATACAAAAAGGATTGTTATTTCCACCATTTTTAATGTAAAAGTCGGGTTAACTTATATATTAAAAATGTACAAATTGAATTTGATATTGATATATGTGAGGAAGAAAGTATTAGGTAGAGATATCTTTAACAATGTATAGGTGTGTAATTAGTCTTCTCATACAAAAGAATTATGAAACAAAATTTACAAAATGAAAATGGAATATATATATATATATATATATATATATATATATAAAGACGAATCAAGAGTATTGAGGTGACATTATGAGAATTAAGTGTTGAGATGTTGATGAATTGTGGTTGAGTTTGAGATATTCCATATTGGTGAAATATTAAAAGATTAGAATAACGAGGTGTGTATAAAAAAGAAGGATGAGATTTGTTGATCCCAGATCTCTCAATAACACTTATAATTTAGTTACGAATAACCAAATTATAATGATTTTATGAAGAAAGTTAAGAAGACTCAAAATTAATATATGAATAAAGAACAATTTGAGCTTCAAAGGTTTTACTTTATTGATAATAAAACGTAAAACACTTTAAGAGGATTTTTCACATATGCGCGCTTTTTACAATAGACCTAGTCGTCTATTTATACTAGTTAGCTAATGCTAAGATAACTAACTATTACTACTTTCTAGCAAATATTCTAGCTAACAGATAATGTTTATCTTTTACATGGATAATCATTATTTACAAGATAAACTATAAATCTAGCTGTTGATGCGTCATCTCCAGCTGTCATTATTGATGTGATGATTTCATCCTTATCTTTAAATCTTCATTGCACGCTTGGATGAATACTTAGAAAACCTTCTAAGTGTTAGTCTGTCCATCGCATCAATGAATACACTTTCCATCACATCATCCATCGATCCGCTGGTTGTACTTGGTCCATCGGTTCGATGGTTGGTCTTTCCATCGATGCTCTGGTTAGTCTTTCCATCGATTCAGACTTAGTCTTTTCTGCCTTGATCTCTTCATCGGTCTTCTGGTTCTTCATCACTTATTGTTTTTCATTACTTTTTTACATTTTACACTATGAGATCTAACAATCTCCCCCTAAGTAATGAAATAACAAAGTCTAATCTAATCACATGAAGAACAGACACTAATCTAAAGAAACATCAAATTCTAAGTTTTCATTGGATGATGAATTCTGTACAAGACTGGAAGCAAAGAACATCAAGGCAAAAAATTTATCTCTTCAAGGATTACCCAAGTATATTTCTCTAAAGCGCAAGAGTAATCTTCTGTATGCAATTACTGTTGAGATTTCTTGAATGAGATGTTTTCCCTCTTCCCTTGGCACGTGACTTCTGCCCAGTCTGTCTCTAATGTTTCTCTGAAACCATTCAAGTGTCTCTGTTGAATACTTGAAGGCTTCAGACATTCTAAAGAAATTTTTAACCCCAAGCTCATTCTTGTAAACAAGTCCGAGTTCAGGTTGAGTCAAGACTGAAGTAGAACGTATCTCCTGCAGGCCCTGAAAATCTTCATCTGGTGGACCGCAGGACAATCTCTCAATGCCTAGCCTTAATGCAATCTCAAAATCGCTTTTGGCTCTAAGGTTTATCAGGGACTCCATCGTTTTGACAATAGCTCTGTTAGCCATACCAAATCTTATACCATGATCTTGCCGCTGAGCCGTGTAACCATATAGTTCTATCAAGTCATAAGGATTGAGGTTGATAAGGTCGTTTTCGTTGAATACGCTAACTTCCCTATGAGCTCTTTCCACTCTGAACTCGATGTAGYGAATAGCTCTGTTGGCAAAGGACATGACTTTTAAGTCTAAGACTCTTCTTATACCCTCGTTCGAAAAGACAGTTCGAGGATCTTGAGTAGTCTGTCTTACGAAGCGATGATGCAGAAGATTCATCGACTCTGGTGATAGGATTGGCGGATTGGTTGACAGGCTTTCTTCTCTATCTTGATACATATATTGATGAATATTTTCCATCATTACTGGCTCCCTGGTAGGCACTTGAGGTCTTCTCCTCATTGATTCCATGTTCTGAAGTATTTCGTCCACTAGGCTCTGTGGAGGATGGCCCGAGGAGGAGGGAATATCCGCTTGCACCACGGGTTGTGTTTTGGTTGTTTGGGTGGTTTCAGGTTCATGGGTTTCTTTTGGTTGTTGGGGTGATGAAGGAAGAGTAGTCATAGGTTCTGGTTGTTGGGTTGTTGTGGGCTCTGATTGTGTGGGTGAAGTAGGTTGGTTTGAGGGTTCTGGTAGTGTGGGTGAAGGAGGTTGGTTTGAGGGTTCTTGTAGTGTGGGTGAAGTAGGTTGGTTTGTAGGTTCTGGTGATGTGGAGATAATGAATGGTTAAGTTGGTCGAGGTGTTGGTGAAGGGGTTAAGGGTAGGTTTGTTTGTGTTGGAGGGGTAGTGGGTTCTTCATCGGATGCAGAGCTCAACTCGATGGGTTCTGTTGTGGGTTGTGGTTGAGTGGATTATGGTTGTGGTGCAGCAGAATGTGTTACATGTGCAGCCGCCGTTTTCTCCCCCTCACGAGGGCCAAGGCCTTGATCATCGGGGTCTTGGTCATCGTGTCTTCATCGTTTCTGCGGACGGCTTCTCGAGCAGGAGGCATGGGACCTCTTCTTCTTTTTGTTCTTCCTGAGGGATTGAAGATACGCCCTCAGGGCTGCCTTTCTGGTGGTCTCCTTCATCGAACGAAGGAGAGTTGAAGTTYGTTGTTGTTCATCGACCAGCGTTGTAGTGAGAGCCCGTGTTGGTTGGATGGCTCGATGAATAAACTTAGCACTGATCTCATTGAAGGATGAGACCAGTGCTCTTGACAGAGCTTGTAAGTCCGCCCTGGTGGCGAACTCTGTTGATGAGGTGGAGGCTTGAGGGTGTGGTGRCATGGYTGATGTGGAAGAGGGTGGTGGTATGGGAAGGTTGGTGATTAAGTTTCTCACCTCTRCAGTGAATGTAGAAAAGGCTTCGTCGAAAGAAGGTCCTGTAGAGGGAGGAGGGGGAGGAGGAGTGGGTTAGGGTATTTGGCTTAGGATGGCAGCGGGTAATTGGGTGAGGGTGTCTTGGATGGTTGTTATTTGGTGGGAGAGGGTGGTAAGGGTTTCATCGATTGAGGAGGTGGAAGGTTGAGAGGGTTGGGGAATTTGAGAGATGATGGAGGATGGTAGTTGATGAAGATGGCGAGTGATGGTTTGAAGTTGGGAAATGATGTATGTAAGTTTTTCATCGGTCTTAGTTACCTGAGCCGTGAGGGTGGCAAGGGATTGGAAAAGGACTTGGTTACGTTGGGTGGCGAGGGATGAGATGGTGTTATGATGTTGGGTGATGGTTTGTTGGAGAATTTGGAGGCGGGA